AATATACAAAAATATTAAGGACAATATTTATGTTTACATACATAAGGTTTTAATTTAATCCGAAAATATACGGTAACGTGATTTTTTTATGTACGTAGTTTCAAGTTTACGCCGCTCAGATTTACCCTTTTCCGCTTATTTGTTAATTAAAAAGGCCTATACTACTACAAATCCATTTTCGATCTATATTATAAACATGTTCTTTTAATTCAATGTAATTATTGTTTTTCATTTGTGTATTAAAATCACTTGGGGGGGTGCTGTAGTTGACTCCAAGCTGTAACTGTATTTTACATGAATATACCTATAAAAAATATAGTTTTAACTGCGTATATTTACTATCATAAATTTCTTATTACTTTAATTGGATAGCATTGTAAATATTGCAATATTCAGAGGGAATAATAATGAGATGGATGAAACTCTTACGGCTATTTGAATCTTACATAATTTTAGCATCCTCGAGATATTTGTTTTAGTTGCGCTCCATTAAAGTAATACTTGAAAAGTAAATTTGTAATTTTCAGAGCTGTAAAGTATTTAAATACTTAAACAATTAATTAATAATAATGTTTAATACATTTTGTAATACTTTCATAAAAAACATTCTAAATATTTTCCCATCCATGCATCTATGAAGTACAGCTGTTTCATATAACGAACAGTGAACTTTTTATTAAGCAACTAAAGAGACTCCTATGACAAATAATTATTTTCATTTTATAAAACCAAATGTAAAAAAGTCCAATTAATCAATATATACATGTTTTTCCGTTTAATAAGTTATAAATATAAGCGCCATTTGAATAAAATTCTAGAAAAGTCTAAGTTAAATTAAATCCCGCCCAAAAATAATATTTTTAATTCGTGTAATTTTTTAATATTTTTGGAGATTATAACAAAAGTTTGTGGGCTTAGCCTCATTCAAACACCGTTTCCATCATGTCTGTAGTCATAAAGTAAACAAATATTTTAAATAAAAGTATTTAAGCAGTATTTTAAAAAGTATTCTGCACAGCGCTAGAAATTTTATTAACAAAACTCCGTATTTATGAAGTACCACAATTGCTTTCCTATCCGCTTTTCCAAACAATGTAGATGCCGATGACGTGTCATTTCAACGTGTTCAGAGCTTGATCTGCTTATTTAAGCTAAGTAAAAAATTGCTTACTTCCCTAAAAAAATTCGGTCTGCTGTTATTTAAAAACATATATCACGCGGTTGTGTAGGATTAATTCAACCGCCACCTTAGCGCTGATGTTTAGCTGAGCTGTTCGCTGCTGGTTGCCGAACAGGTGACGGATACAGGAACTTTAACATTGACAATGACTTGTCCCCATATTGGTTCCTCTAGCCAAAATGAGGTTACGACAGGTCGGCAGACGGTGTAAAATTCCGTCAAATCGTTTATGGTGATAATGATTTCACGCGGTGTCGTAGAGTTTTCATACATAGTGAAAAATGTTTTTTGTCCCTTCTACATGTCTAATAAGCGTAATCATTTTCGCTATGGTTTCCTATCAGTCTCACTAGGAACGCCGACGTATGAGATCAGTGTCAGTCTGACCCACCTTACTACCCGACAATCGCCGTGGTCCTCGGTTATTTTTCAATATATAAATAATCAATTTATAGGCTATACATTGTTGATAAAATCCAAATTTCGCTTCTGTCACTCAATTAATTTGCAAGTTTTAAGATTCCGTACCAGGAACCCATAGCTCAACGAGTTTACACGGTTAATGTTTTGTTACAAATACCACAATCTAGTACCAGGAATTCATAAGAACTAATGTATACGATCGTATATGTCCAGGCAAGCAGGCGTCATTAGCGATTTTCAAGTCGCCACCGATATTTTTCAACAAGATGTTCCGAGTAACGACGTTAACTGTCGATGATTCCCATGAATTCCTGGTATTAAAATTTTAGTTTTCATTTGAGCACCTTAAGCCAACTTATGATGTTTTCCATTGTATAATTAATTTGTTAATTATATACTACTTCGATTTATAATTTAAATACCACAACTTTGATGTGTTGCTTTTATTTTGAGCTTTTAAAATTTTCAGAGTTTACAAGTTATCAAAAGTGAATCTAGAAATTTTCTATGAGAGACGCTATAAAAAAGTTGTTTGTTTAGGTGGCAATCTAATCGAGTTTTTTTACCAGATAGATCTTTTATTTCTCTTTGGTTTACATCTGTTTTTCCATACGATCATTACATCCCAAGGGAAGTGATAAAACACCCTAGCATTCCTACTAGATCCGCCCTTTAATTTTAGATAGTAAAATGTCCGGAAACAAAATAAACTCTCGAATAATAATTCACATAAAAAATATTATATTAAACCTAGTAAAAAAAAAAAAAAGAAATTTGTCTAATTCATTTCTAGGGTATAAAATTATATAAATCAAGCCACAAAAATTGTTCGAACCATACTGTGTAATCCTGCATAAAGGCTTAAGTTTTTATTTTAATCTAATTTTTCATTTTATAATTTAAATAATTATACTTCAAATCCAATATAATTGATGATTAATTCTTACTTATCAATAAAATATGTTTGATTCGTGTTTCAATTCTAAACCAAAAATACAATTTATAACGACTAGATAATTTAAAATAATGTAAAAACATATTTTCTCATTACCTATTTATAAAAGAGGGGCGGTGTGACCGAATCGGTAACGCGGCAGTATTTGACGCGAATTACCTAAGGTTCGTAAATTGAAAATGGGCGACTTCATTTGCCGAGCGAAAGATCAGTTCGGTTATTGGAGTCGCCATCCCTCTCAGCGGCGAAGGACTAACCGCCCGTCCTGCAGTACCGGTGAATAAGAAAATTTCCCCTATGGGGAGGTCGGTATTGGCCTTTAATGGGGCTGGTAAAGCAAAAAAAAAGTATTCACATACGTTAAAGCTTAAGATTGCTGTTTTTTTTCCATAGGTTTTTATATATAAATATTATAGCTCGACAAATACACAAAAATTGGTTGATAGATAAGATAGGTGTTAATTCATAAAAATGTAATATTTTTAATTTAGGCACGCATTAATTAATACCTGGCTACTGCATAATAGTGGCTTAATTAATGTATTTTATCATTATAAATTTTATTTTATGATATAACTATTTTTATTACTAATATATCAAATTAACATTGAAAAAATTGTAAAAGTAAGTATTAAACAAAATAATCAATTTAATAAATAAAATTTAACAAGTTTAATTTTAACAAATTGAAATTATAAATAAGAAAACAAATATCTTTCAATAAAAATTATAACATAAATCTAAAATTTAAAAAAGTACACTAAATATAACTAAATTAGATTATTAAAAAAAGGATAAAAATATGAATTTAAACTTCTAATTTAATTCTCGAGTTTTGAATAAAATTTAAATGAATAGCATTTTTAAAAATGCTATCAGTACAATAGTAAATAATTTAGTTGGCAACATTTTAGCAAGGACAATAATGGTAGTTAAGCAACAAATAGTCATAACATCCAAAATAATTAGTTATTATTGAATGATGGAAATATTCTATAAGTAAACAAAAAATTTAAGTTTATAAGTAACCATTAAAATTTTTTTTATATATATACAGAATGATTGATTAACTATAACACCCACAATATCATTAAAACTATAAAACAATAATATTTCTTTTCAAAAGTTAACAGCATCCTGCGTCCTATAACATCAGAAAATAATTTGGTCCCTTCTTTACCCATTAAAATTCTAAATTTTAAATGGAAACATATATGTTTAACCAACTTACAAACTAGAAAATTATCTATTATTAGCATTTTAGAAAAATCAGGAGGAAAAGTGTAGTTCATTAATATCTAGAAATGAAAATTAACATTTCCACGCTTCATTTCCAGTCTTTGTGTTAACGAGTTAATAACTTCCGAGTTAATAGTATTAATAGTATTAGTTAATAACTAAAAATTCAAAATTAAAATGTTCAAAAGTTATGAATAACCAATAATTTTTTTTATAAATAATTTTTAGTTTGCAGTTGGTTAAAAATATGTTTCCATTCAAAAAATTTAAGTTAATAAAATTTTAAATAAGAAAAGAAATAGTTTTTTTTTTTGAAAATAATAAAATATGGGATACATTTCACTTTTAAAAAGAAAATATTATATTATATTTAATATTTTTATAGATATTGCATAAGCAAGAACCATACTAGAGAAAATTTTAGGGGGCTGCAGAGTAAATTTTTCAACTGTTAGCGATTAATTTTCTGACCTAATTATCTCAATAAGTAAAGAGTGTCCATTAGGGTGGCCCTCAAAAATCGAATGTCTTTTTTTTTTACGCTACCCCTTAGTTTTTTTTAATGGTCAAAAAAATGAGCTGTGCAAAATTTGGGACCGATCCGTTAAAGTTAACCCGTGCCCCCGGGCCTATTCAGTTGAGTCAAAGAGTCAAATTTATTAGAAATAACTGATCTATGTCTCATAACTTTTTTTTCTCTTAACTTAGAATTATAAAAGTAAAACTCAAGTACAGTAGAACTCCAATTATCCGAACTCCGATCATCCGAATCGCCGATTATCCGAATCACTTTCAGAAAAAATCAGAAAAAAATTTGTCCAAAGTCCGCGGCGTCAGTGTAGGCACAACACGTGGTAAGAGTTCCCACTCCAGTTCCGGCGCATTGCAGTCACCTGTCATTGTTTATTTTGATTAGTCAGTGAATGGGTCCCGGTCCCCATTAATTCGGATAATTGGAGTTCTACTGTAAAGAAAATTTTACAAGAAATTAAAAAATAATAACTTCAATGTTGTTTTCTCAATAAATANGTAAAGGAAATTTTACAAGAAATTAAAAAATAATAACTTCAATGTTGTTTTCTCAATAAATAGCCCACAAAAACACTACATACAGTAAAAAACATGTAAAAGTCTTAAAATACGTTATAACTGATTTTGTTGATTTTTAATTATTTATTTTCATTTTATTTTTTGGAAAACGCATATTCGTCTAAAAAAAGATTCTAGAAGTTTAATTTTTTATGTCAAGTACAATAATTATATTAGATTTATTATTAACTTAATAGGACCGAGGACACGGATTAACCTTAACAGATCGGTCCCAAATTTTGCACAGCTCATTTTTTTGACCATTAAAAAAAAAACTAAGGGGTAGCGTAAAAAAAAAAAGGACATTCGATTTTTGAGGGCCACCCTAGTGTCCATTATATATTCAAAAATTAACATAGAATAACGTATATAAACTTTTGGGGGCCGTGACACACAATAGCCCCTTTGAAATCACCCCAGTACATAAGTCATAATTATGCCTTCACTACATAATTTAAGTGAAATGAAGAAGTCTAACAACATAGAAGAATGATATTCAAACATAGTTTAGATTAAATAAGAATTAAATGGGTAACTTTTACATATTTGTAAAGTGCAATTTATAGCACTGGTTTCTAAATATTAAAATGAAGGCTTGTGTAGTTTGATTATTAAATGAAAGACTGAGTGAATAATGGTATTAAATACCATTTTCTGAAAAAAATGTACTTCATAAATAATAGGAAGAATATTTATCAACAATAAATTTTCATTAGTGCAATATTTAAGTACAACAATTTTTTTGCATTTAATTTCACACAACCACAACAAAAGTCAATTAAGAAAGGAACCCTTAACACTAAATTATTAATTTATGTAAAATGTGTCTTATAATTGTGCTATAAATTAAACTAATACATTATTAAAAAAAATATCACAACTTATTATAATTTTTTAACAATTTAGAAACACATATATAAAGTTTATAATAAGTACTAGAAAATTTATAAATATTAAATCATTATCACATAAAATGAGAAGTGTAAAATACAAACACATATTATTCTATACAATGAATGCCAGTGATTTTAAAAATATTTTACTACTTGCTATGTAGAATGCAGTGTATTAAGTTCCACCGTTATAAGCATACTCAGCTTTATTATGCATTATAAGTTGATTGTTCACAAAATAAAAGCTATCTGATTTTGTTTCAAATGGATTATTTATCATTTCTTGAACTACATAAATATCATTAAAAATTTAATTAAGAAGTAAAAATTTATAATAAAAAATTGTTTTCATTTATGTTACTTACTTAATTCTGGTTCTAGTTTTGGAAACATGTAGATATGTTCACATGTATTTTTGCTATATGGTATACAAAAACCAAAATCAAAGTCAAAAATTTTTAATAATTTGTTCCGAAAATAATGGCGTTCAATCATACGAAACTTAGATACCGGCTTGTTACCAACTCTAAACTCAACACTATAAAATAAAATAAAGGAAATTATTTTGGTATACCTAGACAACATTTTGTGTTAAAAAATTTATATGATAAAATATCTTACGTTGCACCAACTAATTTCAACTCTAGAAATTTTGGAGTAAATTGATAACGAACAAAACGACCACTGTTTAAATCTATTTCATCTTTTTGCTCAACTGGGTTTTCATCTAGATATACATACATGTTTAATAAAAATGTATAAAAGATTATGAACATAATTAAATTTCATACCAAAACTATCTGGCTTTGCTATTTCAAATAAAACCATTCCAGAATCAAGATCTCGTATTTTAAAACGTATAAAGTCTATTTTATAAATATTAGCTTCAGGAGAACAAAGATATCCTAAAACAAAATCATAGTTTAAAAATATTCATGATTTCATAATGACTTTTGAAAACTTTTACCATTAGTTATGCTTGGTAATCTAAATATATCTTCAGGTGTTATACATGTTTTTTTACGCAAGTTATCTTCATGATCCAAAGTTGCTGAAAAAAAATTGAAAAACAGAAATCTTTTAAATAATAATTAATATATTACAAAAATTACAAAAAATTTTTTAATTAATTTCATAAACATCTAAACTAATTTACTAAATATATTACATTAGAAACAAATATGAATATTAATATAAGTAATACACAACTAAAAGTTGTTTAGATTTAAATACTTTCCAAAAAAAAAACAATTTTTACTGTACAATCTAAAAAAAAAACTAATATATTAATTTATAAAAAAGTAAACTATTGTTAATTATTTAGGTAAATAAAAAAAAATTGAACACATTAAAAAAATAATTTTACGCTAATACCAAACAAAAAAAGTTATAACTTACAAGTGATTTGCATATTATTTGTAGAATTTGTTTTTTTGCTTGCCATAATAAACAAATATTAATTAATTAATATTTATTATCAATTAATATTTAATAAATGATTAAATAAAATGTTTTTCAATACTGTTAAATGTGATATTCAACGTCAAATATTCAGTTTCATACCTAAAATTAAAAACAAAAAAGGTTTAAAATTTTTTTTTTATTAAAAATGAAATGTTTATCTGATCACCTTTTAAATAAAAATGGCAAATATTTTAAGAAATTTTATGAGTACCTAAAATGTAATTGAAAAATAATATATAATATTACACTGATTTTTTATATTATACTTACATCTTAGCAACAAATATATCATAACTGAATAAAAATAAAAAACATTCGTATTATAGGTAATAGGTACAATAGTCTGTAAACACATCAACCCCTTATAAACCAATTATTATTCTATGATAGAAGACTAAATAGTACACACTACATAATATAAAACAAAATCAGATAATCAAAATAATAACGACTATTGTTACTATTGTACTAGAACGACCCTAAGAGTTTGTAACAACAATAATATTCTACGAAAATGTATTATCAATTGGAACAACACTTAAGGTATCATTTATCAAATTGAAATTGATTTTCCTTTGAACAACCAGCGAACTCTATTCGACGAATTTCAATTAAAAATCTAGATCAATCTAGTCTTTAGTAGGACACTCTAAGTTAACTGTACTATAACTAAGTACATTCATCGTGTAACTTATGTATCAGAAGAATGACACATTTAATTTTATGAAAGAAAAATAAGAAATACTTTTTGAAAATCTTAAAACTTCTATTTTATAATTGTTTGAACTTGAACGCTAGGCACCACATGTGACTTTACCTACACAGAGTGATTCACTACTTGATTAATCGAAAAATAAGAATAATATCTCAATTTTTTAATTGGTTTCATTTAGTTCAATGTTTCCTTAATTCATAAATCATAAAGTATATTTTTAGTTCATCCCTTATTCTTTATTAGGTTGTCAACTTTAGCTTTTCGTCATCATTAACTAGCTTATTTATTAGAAAATGATCTAATTAAAAAACAACTGCCTAATAACAACTTCTGGGCCACTTTTTCAGACGTTATTAACAATTTAAAGTAATGATATGTGAAGAACAGTGGGTGGTTCTGCTATTTTTATAGCTTGACACTTTCCGGTTGTACTCTTTCTCTTACCTACGTTTAAACAAGTCTATAATGATATATTGAAAGAAACATTGATCCAAAAGAAACCAGTAAAAAAATTGTTTTTATTTTGCGATTAATTAAGTGGTTTATGATAAAGCCTGAAGTTCATGACTATACACAAACATTCGAATCTCCTAATGATATACTTTTATTTTTTGAAACTATTTCAATATTTCTTTTTATAAAATAAAAGCCGTGTTTCTAACTGATCAATAATATTATGGAATCTTAATAAACACATAACATATGAGTCTTTGAGGCCAAAAATTATAACTTATTTAGTATACAAGTTGTTTAGATCTTCTAAGAGGGTGACTTAGCTAAAACAATTATTGTCTAAACATTTTTTAATTCTTCCTTATTTTAAACTCGTAACCTATAGCGCTTGATAGCTTAGCGGTAAACATAAACAATATTTTGGATTTTAAGCGAATTATTGATAAGAGCCAAATTTGCCCATCTTATCTTATAGAACGAAGCAGATTATAATTTTTACAGCCAAGAAGTGTAATAATAGTTGATAAACGTATTTATGAATACAACCTTAAAAATATATATTGTAACCGTCTGTAAAAATTATCGATAGTGCACAATTTTATCTTTTTTTTTCGATTAAATACTTTAAAGTTTATTCGGAAAAACGTGATCAAATAACTTTTTTCATTTGTCAATTTTGCAGTATTAGAAGTCATTAAAAGTTTCGTGACTCAATAAAATGATTACAGAGAATGAAATGCATGAGGATGTCCCCAAAAAAGCACTTATATATATTTGCGGAGGTAAAACTTTTAAAATTTATTGAATTTTTCCTATTTGTTTGAGGAAATGGTTGGAATGGTTATATATTTTGATCTTAAAAAATACTCAGTTTTAATCCAAACTTAAAATATTAGTTACTATTTTGTTAATTTTGTTGTAGCATGCCAGGGAGAGAATGAAATGAAGCCAAAGGATCCTATAAGATGCAGGGAATGTGGTTACAGAATAATGTATAAAAAAAGAACAAAACGATGTATCCTTTTGTATACTAAACTTTATAAAAAAATTTTCTTTTTATTTTTAAATAGATTTCTATCCTATTTCTATTTGACATTTATTATAAAATATAATATAAGAATAGAATTATTTAGTTCTACAATATATAAACGATAAATTTTTTAATTATTTTTATGAAATTTCTCACTTTAAGTTTTATTAACTTCATTAGTTTTTACTCTGTAATTACCTCTAGTTTATTTCCAAATTAAATTACAAATCATAAAAGTCTTAAAGTAATTTACACTGAATAAAACTAATTATTTACAGTTAAATTTCAATTTATAGATTTAGAATAACCATTCTGAAAAATGTCTCTGCTTACAGTTATGTGATTTAACTTGAGGATCACATTATATATCAAACTGTATTATAGTAATTCAAAATATACCATACTAATGTATGGAACAAATTTATCATTGTTTGTTATTAATAAACATTATTATTATTATGCAATACATTTTGTATATTTGACATAATACGCTATTGCATTGTAAAGGAATTTTGTATTTTTACTATGAAAAATCATACATATACAAGTAACTCAAAATTTGTAACTTTTGAGTTACTATACTAGATTACTTACTGTGTAATAGATTAATTTTTCAATATTTGTTTATATTCCTTAATTGTATAATAAAAACAGTGGTCGTATTTAATGCCCGATGAATTTATGGAAAATTATGTGTTCAGTATCAGAAGATGTATAACAAGGAATTTTTATATATATAAATTCCAATTTTGAAAATTTGTATTAGTGTCAGTTTATGTATTTTTGAATAAAATGATTACTTCCTTTAAATTTTGGTATTTATGTCATGTAAAATTATTGTAATAATGTCTAGAGCTAGGAATTACACTCGTTTATAAATTTTGTTTGAGCTACTTAAAAGATTTGTATAACTTTGTTATAGAATATTATAATTCGTTAAAATATATTTTGTTTATCCTTCCAAAATAATTTAGTAACAACACTTCAATCAAGTATTCAAGTCATCAATTAATAAAAATGTATACTAGCTAATGGTGTTTTCAGAATAATTTAATAAAATCTAAAAAATGCATGTAATTTCTTACCCTAAATGTGTCTATATGGAGTGTTTAAGATCTAACTTAAAACACTTGTAACTTAAGTTCCAATTATTTTGTTCAAAAATATTATTTGAATTCAAATTTTGCTATTACAATGTTTGTACATATAATTAAATATATAGCACAAATAAAAATAAAGTTAGTGTGATTAATAAAGATAAATTATTCTAAAATAACATATTATTATTATTTATTAATGAAATAATCAACAATGATTTTTTATTTTATCCTAATTTAGTAGTATATATTCATATTGTTAAAGCAATTAAATGTGACTGTCACTACTGCCCCAAATAATAAAATATAAAACATGCATTGGTCAATAATCAATTCCTAGATCATTTAATAATTTTGTAAGTTACTTATATTCTGTCAAAATTACACCACCATCAATTACCAAAAAACAAAAACTGTATAACTTAATTGTTAATTCTCAAAAACTGTACTGAAGATACTTTAAAAAATTAGCCTGTAATTATTACAAATTTTTAAATTTTCTTTATATTTTGCTCATTATTGTAATGTTGCGGGTCACTTAATCCAAACTAAATTATCTATCTAGAGGTAGCCATTTTACAAGATCCAATGTAACTAGTCATCTTCAATTACTCAGTTTTTTTTTTTAATTTTGTAACAATTATTTTTTTAACAATTTGGTGATTACTGTACTTATTTAGTCACTAGAAAAAATAATACCTTAAATTTATAAATTTGTAATATAAAGTTTAATACCAAAATAGTTTAGTTTTTTATCTGCTGGATAATGAAAAAATGTAGATAATTGATTATTGCACTGGACCTTCGTCAAGGAAACATATGGAAATCTAATAAAATAATTATTATAAACATTCCTGCAAAACAATAAAATAATTTACTGTTTTGATTACCACATATTATTAAAAAATACATATATATATATATTGACTTCTGATTTTCTAAATACCATTAATTCGAACCAAAAAATGGATAAGCGAGAAAACATCAGACCACTTTTCTGACTAGGAATATTTTTAACGGAATTTAAAAAACAATGCATAATAAAAAAATGTTATATCTGGCCCCCCAAATTACCAACAAGCAACTGTTACTATTTATTATCAAAAAAAATAATGATCATAAAAATCATTGTATAACTATTTGATCTTTTAGTGTCTAAACATTATCATAATAAAACATATTTCTCTTAATTAAGTTCAATATGAATAATTATTGTTTGAATCACTGAATTGATTCAAAGAATCGATTCATTTAAATGATCTGATTCGAAAGAGTTGATTCATCTGATCGAATCAAATTTCCCATCACTAATGGAAAAGACTTAAATGATAGAAATAAAAACTTCTAAATTAGCAGAGTTTTTTTTTCTTTATCATAAATAAAACTGAGTATTAAAAAAAACGGTAGCACATTGGGGTCGAGGCACAGTGTAGACAAGGCACTGAAAGGCATAGATGGGACAAGTATAGATGATATTTGACTGTGATTAAAATCACTATCATAAGAAACGCTTCGATACAAATCTGTAGATAGTGTTTCATTTAGAGAAATTGTTGGATTATTCCAAAAGCAACATCAACTCTTATTTCTTTGATTATATCCTAATTAGTAATTCTTTTATTTTAAAATATAATATATGAATAAATACTAATTATAATTATTAAATTTAGTATGAAATTGATATTCGATAATTTAATATTGTAATTTAAACGGAGAAATTATAAAAATAATAAAGAAGTTGTATTTTGCTTTATTTTTACGTGTATAAAAATTTAAAGGGCTTGATACAATAAATTTCAATAAAAACTGTTTGTTACTATAAATAAATGCATTGAACTACAAGGAATTTTTATCAGTAACAAAAATATACCATTCTAAATCAACTTTTCGAGATGTTTTCAAATCTACAATTAGACTTTTGCTATCACTTCTAAGTTTTAATATTATTAAAAATTAGTATTTACATATAAAAAATTCGCATCGAAGCTAAAAAATTGGCTATTTAAGCTAACTCAAATTTAAAAATTACTTTTTCGACTTTAAAAAAGTAAAAAAAATTTAATAATTAATTTTTTATGTCTTATGAACTTTATTCTATGTCAATTAAATTATATAATATTTCAAAATATCAATATTTTTAAGTCAATATATTCTCCTAATAAGATATTTTAAAATAAAATAAAATACAAAACCTAGAATTTTAATAGAAAAATAGCATATTTTTGAATACGGTAGCCATTTGCGCATAGAAGATAGGTCGTCGGGACAAATTTTTTTTTTTNTTGAATACGGTAGCCATTTGCGCATAGAAGATAGGTCGTCGAGACAAATTTTTTTTTTTCATTTTATAGTACATAAAATAACGTTTAATTTGATATAAGTTTAAAGGACGAAGTATTTCCGGAATATTTTCAAAAATTAAGTTGAAAAAGTTGCTATTTTAAATCCCCCCCAATGAGCAGGTTAAGAGTTAGATTTTCAAAAAAATGATATCAAATGAATGGGAAATATCTAAGGTTTTAGTATAAAAAAAATTATGTTGATTTGTCGATTTTTGAAAAAGTTATGGAAGTTTTAAGAAAAAAAATGAAAAAAATGACAAAATTTACCGATTTTTAAATTTGTAATTTTTTTGGATATTTCCCCCATTTGCGGGGAACGAGAGAAAATTTTTCAATTTTTAAGGGTAATGTCTTTAACTAGATACGATTTGTGATCTTTTGACGTATTATTGAAAGAAATCGGTCCAGTGAAAGCTGAGAAAAAGTGACAACAGACATAAAAAAAAAAAAAAAAATCATAGTAAAATTAATACCTTCTCAGCTTCGTATCTAAGCTAAAAATTTTCATCCATATAAAAGATGACTACCCTAAACTTTATATTGATTTTTATAAAGTATTATATAATCAATCTATTATTTAGATCCAATTACTTCATAGTTTACAAATAAGCTGCAAGCATATTTTTACCAATTAATTTAAAAAAAATGTTTTGTATTACTATTTGTTATAATAAATAAATAATTATACAAAAATAATTTCATTTATTACTTTAATTTTTCTATTAGTTCTATTGTTTCATTAATAAAAGAAAAAAAAAATTTTTAAGTGTTTCTTTAAAAAAATCTCAAATTTCTGATCATTTTATTTTGATTCCTAAATTTAAGAATTACAATTTCAATTGTAATTTTATTGTATTATTTTTTTTTTATATAATTTATAAATATTAGAAATGTTAAAAAAATGTCTATCATACCAAACTGTACTTCAAGCCAGAATTGTTAATTATGATGATTGGTTTTGATATCCAACAAAATTAGATTATTTAAAAATGTATTTTCAATGTAGTTTCAATTAAAAAACAAAACACAAACTTTAATAACAATTTTGTTTTTATTTCTATATAATTGAAATTCCTAGAATATTAGGAATAGAAAATTAGATAGGTTTAATTTACTCCCTTAGAAGTATTAAGTCTAAGTAATAATATATTACAGACTTAATTATTAAAATGACTAAAAAAAAAAAAAAAAAAATTTAATTTACTGCAATAACTATTAAGTGTCTACTGAATAATCAAAAAATAATAATAAAAATAAATAAAAAAAAAAAAACAAAATGTTAACCACATATTTTATACACAATTAACTATAATAAAATAAATAATTTGTAAGGTTTTTTTTTTAAACATAGATAAAATGAATAATTTGAACAAATGATGAGAAACTATAAACACTATAATATATATGACAAATAAACAAATCCAAAAAGTGATAAAATTTAGTTATTTTTTCGAATTATTAATGAACATATGATGGCAGATATTTATACAATTTAAACAATTGATATTTTTTGCCGGAATACACAATTTAAATAATTACATACAATTGGAATGTTTAACACGTATCATTTAAACGTACACTTAAAATATTAAAAGAAAACTAGTTGGTAAGTGTTTAGAAACTTAAATTCAAGTCCTATTATAAAATATAATCTAACCAGTAACCTGTTTGTTTCTCAATAAATGTTTACAGATTCTGTACAACAGATAAACGGGGAAACATTGTTAATACTTATTTATGAGTTTAAATTTCTACATCTAAAAATTTGTGCTGTATACTTTATTGAGTTTTATTATCTTTATATTGATGGTGTACATTACTCAATTAATGAAGAGCAAACGAACACTTAACTAAGATTGGATTGCACCACATCGCAAATAGTACTTAATATATAAGGTACTTGGACCTCAATTTTTAAGTAACATTTAAAAGTACTGATGGAAAATCAAATAAATAATAACTCTTTACAACATAAAATTTAAATAGAAGAACACACAGAATAAATAATGTTTGATGCATTAAAATGGCCATCTTTTTATTTAAGAATTTTTTTCCTACACGAAATTATTTTAAAGCAGGGAATGAAGAATTATATTCGACTACATTGAAGAGTGTGGGAGCAAGGATAAAAATTTTAATTCCTTTCAACTAAAATATTAATATGATATAATTTGTATAAAGACTTGTGTCGTTTCAATGTTCACGGATTTATTTTTGAACAAAATTTTTATGGATTTAAATGCTGGGGGCAAACATATTATTTAGTATAAAGGTAAATTGCAACAATCAGTCCATACAACCCCAATACTTCAGCAAAAATAAGGATCAAAATCATTCCTACGAATAATCTAGGTTGTTGTGCTGTGCCTCGTACACCAGCATCGCCTACAATTCCAATGGCAAATCCAGCAGCTAATCCGCTGAATCCAACTGAAAGGCCAGCACCAAGATGGATGAATCCTCTATAAAATGACAAACAATACCAAAATAATAATAATGGTTTTAAAATGTCTAACTTAAGTAATTTTTTTACTTGAATAGTGAATATTTGCTTGGCTCATCTAGAGCTCCAGCTATCAGTACAGCAACCACAAGACCATATATAGCAATAATACCAGCCATAACAACAGGAATGATAGACTTCATTATAAGTTCTGGCCTCATTACTGACATAGCAGCAATACCAGTTCCTGATTTAGCAGTACCATAAGCAGCACCAAGAGCTAAAATTGAAAAAATAACAACCTTTAAAAATCATT